CTTTTGGTTGTCATTTTCTGTGAATTGCTTTTGTTCTGAATAGCTGTCAGTCAGGCAATTTGATCTTCTTGATGGTCTCATTGAGATTTTATACATTTTATTTCAGCTTGTGGAATACCAGGGGGGCACGATTATTGGTGTATTGGTGTACTTTCCCACTTAAACTGTGACATGCTATATTTGGTTAAGAATTTGCTAGCAGCATACCATATTGCACCAACGTTGAGATAATTTAATTACCTGAGTTAATTCTTCACAATCGTATTTAAAAGAAAATTTTATATTTTTTGTTACTGCCAGTAAAACTACCACTAACCTAGGATACACAATGGCTTTCTGATAAACTTCAGGCGACCTCTCCATCCTCTGAATCGGCAACAGCAGCCAGCTGCCCAGACCCTGAGAGCGAATTCTAATCCAAACACAACGATGGTAACAGCTTCCTGTTTAAATACAATATAAGTGTTACAACTTCTTAACAATGCTAAGTGAACATTACATTTCTGCTAGTTATATGTTCATTTAACGGTACAGGCCTTCTACAGACTTTGTTATGATTATCTTCATAGAATCCTCACAGTGTATAAACAGACCCTTCAGCCCAACAAGTCCACACTGACCCTCCGGACAGCATCCCACCCAGACCCATCCTCCTGTTTCCCTATGGTTAATCCACCTAATTTACACATCCCTGGACACTATGGGCAATTTAGCATGGCCATACTACCTAACTTGCACATCTTTGGACTGTGGGAGGAAACCAGAGAACCCAGCAGAAACCCATGCAGATACGGGGAGAATGTGCAAACTCCATGCAGATAGTCACCCGAGGGTGGAATCGAACCTGCATTCTTGGCGCTGTGAGGCAACAGTGCTAACCACTGTACCACTGTACCACTGTGCCGCCCTCTTGATTAAAAACAACTAGTGAATGGTCAATGATAGATAGGCTTATGAAAGATAGGGTTATTACAACCATTCACTACCAGTTTCGACAAAATTGATGTTTAACCACATCAGATAGAATCAAACCCTGAGAGAACTTTGGAAGATGACAAAGACATTTCCAAGGGTTTGACCAACAGTGCATCCAGAGAGAGGGGCAGTTCTTCTGGTTTTTAATCTTTGTAGAGTGGTGTATTTGTAATAGATGTACAAGTGCAGATGACTAGTGCATGTAGATGATTGATTAAAGTAATAGTAAGTAGTGGAATGACTGTCTGTAGTAATGACTGCAAATGTGACGAATTTTCCAATACTTTGCATTTAAATGGGTCATAATGGATCTTTTTAAATTTTACATTGTTCATTCTGCAAAATGAGAAAAAACAAAATTTTTGCCCAATAATCAACAAAGCAGTTCACTTTAAGACCTGGTTTCAAACCCAGCCCAAACTGCTAGATGAAAACCTCATTTTTTGCTGGCTGGAAGGGTGGTATTGAAAATGGGCTTGAGAATGGATCTACTGCACAATACTTCCCCAATTCTTTCCTATTATGATTAGCAGCCTTAATTAGAGAAATGGCAGGTTAGCTATTATGGGAAGGGTGCAAAGTTTTAACGTGAAATGCAAAAAAAAGCAAGAGTTATGTGAGGAAATTATTTTCTTACATCAAGTAGTTAGGGTAAAGAATTCACTGCCTGGAAATGTTGTGTAGGCAGATACCATTGAGGCATGCAGGAGGGCATTGTGTGATTATTTCGATAGAAATACTGTACAAAGATATGTGGAAAAGGCAGGAAATTGGCCTAGGTAAATTATGTTCATTTGAACAGACATTACAGGCACAATGGGCCAAATGGTCCCCTCTGCACAACGTAATTCTGTGACTCTGAAAATTGGTAAAATTGATGCAATAGCTGTGCTTTGCTGATTTTGTAGTCGTGACATGGATGTTGAGACAGAACAGAGCATGTTATGGAATATTATCTTGCAAGGAAGCACCAGAATTCCAGAGCAAAACTTAATAACAGGATTACAGACTAGTTCCTTGGGCCTGCGTTGCCACTCAATACAATCAAATCACTCCAAAACATCCGAGCAATGGCAGACCATGATAACTGGGTTGCTTTGAGAAAAGATTTATGTACAGTTCTGTCAAATATAGTTAGAATCCGTTAATTAATATGTGAAGCTATAAGATTACCCTATGAATTTGAGACAGAAAATTGAGATTGAACATGCTCAGGTTACACCTGCATAACACATTACCTAATCAATACAGACTTAAATTGAATAATTAGAAGGTTAACTTTATGGTGTATACAAAAGTTGTGCAAATTAGATTGTACTTAACCAGTGTCAGGAGCCATTTTTGTGAGAGAGCCTCAAATTCAGAAAATGTTGACAAGATGGCCAGGATTAAGCATCCAAGGACTAACAAAAATCTGAAATGAAAAACAAGGATCAATCGTTACACAGATTGAATTGATTTAAAATAAACATTGAACATATAGCTATTTACGAACTAATGTCAATGTACATGAGAAGGAAGCAAAGTCAGAAATAATATCACCAATGTATTTTGATATTTTGTCAGCAAAATTTAAATCTGTAGCAGCAAAGAAAGAAATATGGTTTGTTTCACAGGAGAGCAATGAATTTGCAAATCCTACCATTTACAATGAAATGTATAATGCAGCAGAGACCACAGCAGATTTAATCTTAATATTCTGCATAGACTCTGGGAGGAATCATACTCCAGCAAGGAGTCTCAATGAATTCCAGAAAATCAAATGTGAACTTTAACTGGTCACAAAATCATGAGTAGCAAGGTTTCAATGTGTTCTTACATTGGCCAATGCTAATCTCTGGAAATACAAGTCAGAAATCAACCTTTAGGATTTTTAATGTTACTGCTATTTTGATTAATCTCTGTTATGTCCTTTCATTATGAAGAAAGAAGGTTCAAAATGTATATGACAGGAAGATGCTCTTTACCATCTATATAACAATAAAGGTGATATATAGGTATATACTTAGGAAGAAAATAATAAATTGAGTGTAGATTGCCAGGTAAGACAGTGAAGGAAATATAGTTATTATATCAGCAAATAGGATACAGCAGCAATTCAGTGTTGATACCCACTCCACTTACTGTTGCAAGGCAATGGTTTAATTTGAGCAATGGAAAAAATGTAGAATTTATGTTTGTATAGTGCCTTTCACAACCTCAGGTCATACTAAAGCTTTAATGAACGGAAGACATCAAGCTTTCTCACAATGTCACCTCCGCTAAAGCTGAACTTTTGTTCCTAGTTCCTCCTCTTCTGAACACTCTATTCATGGGCTGACACACCAGCTGGAGGTTAATTAAGGAATCGGTTTTCAAAAATTCAAACTTATCTTTATATTGGAAAGAAATGAATAATTGACACAGCTACTCAAATCAACTATTAGTGTGTGAATTATTGTAGCAGAATCTAAAGGGAAAACAATTCCCGAGATATTAATTCATTTGTGCATGTCTGACAATATACACAGCTCGTAGAACTAATACTTTCTTGGGATTAGCATACCATTATATGAGATAGTAGTCAATAGAAAGTAATGCTAAACCTTTATAAAGCTAGTTAGTCTTCAGCTGGAGTGTCGTGTTCTGTGTCGGGCACTCACACATGAGAAATTTCTCTATGGTAGCAGGATTAATTATCAGAGGTTTAACTCGACTGGCAAAAAAAGTCAGAAGCAGTAAGAGGAACATTTTCATTTTATGCAGAAAATCATATGTTGGAATGCACGGCCTAAAAAGTATTTATGGATGCAATTCAATAATAAATTCCAAAAGGATTTGAATGAACATTTGAATGATAAAAGAATTAGTTGTATTGTGAGGAAACACAGTTAAATAGCTACACAAACAGTCAACACATTGCTATATCATTCAAATAGTGATCTTTCAAGGGCTGAAATTTCAGAACTCTTGCCTGGCCAATGGAAGGAGAAACAGAATTTGTGACTGCGAAGACAACAAAATGCCAGTCCCATCCCACAGGAATGTCAGCATGAATGGCAGACACCGACAAGGTGGCTCCTGTCTTGAATTTAAAATGGAGGATCATTATGAATTTCTATGGATGGAAGAAACACCTGGGAAATGCCAAACAAGGAAAAGAACATTTTCTTCTTCACCTCCAAATGCAACCAATCATGGATATGCAAATATGATCAATTTTCCTTTAGGTTTGTGTGTCTCACAGGCTTCTTAAAAGGGTTCAATATTGTTCATGTTAGTTCTCAGCTGGTGGGAATGAAATTTATACTTTAACGGTATATTAAATAAAATTCCTTGGATTCCTAAGATTGTCCAATGACTCCCACAGAGCCGCCTTTCAATTGCCGTGCCATCCCATTGGAAAATTACTGCACTGAAAAAGCAAGACCAAAATCCTGGTGCAACAAGGTTTCATTCTGAATTCTAGCTGCAGGCCAACAATTCCAATCTGCATTTAGTCCTAGCCCAGATTGGACTCTTAGACTCTGCTTGTTTACACCACAGCAGACTAGGTTGTACAGAAACATGTGATTTTTTGAAACTAAGATTGATCCTTGAATTGGTTAGGACGAGCAGTTCTTAAATTCTGAGAGTCAAAGCCTCTCAGGTATTGTAAGAACCTGGCAAGTGAAGACCCTCTCATGGATGGCTCCATGAATCCCTTTTTTTGTCTCATTATGTCTTTGAGCAGTGATGCAGTTAAATGCTAGGGTTTCTTTTTCAAAGGGAATCTTTCCATCAGTCCTTAAAGAAGCAACAGGAGGCTCCTAATGTTCCCTGTGAGTAGGAGTTCGATAGATATTTCATTTAAACTGCTCAGATTTGTTTCGGCACACATCTAGAGCAAGTGTGACTTGAATCTGGGCCTCCTTGCCCAAAGGTAAGGACACCACTACAGCTGCAAGGAAATCTTCTATGTACTGTACCAAATTCCTAAAAATACATATGAAGCATCCATATTATATGGTATTTATTCTATTAATTACATTTTTTTCAACAGCTTAAGCTTCCACATTAGTATTCCAACTAATAGCCATAACACAATGTATGAGTTGATTTAATGATCATTACCAGTCCTTTTTACCTGTATATTCTTGAATCACAAGGCTACATTGTACTGTTTGAAGTATAGGTACTGACTTTGAAGTTTCAAATTTAGTTTTTTTCAATAGTCAACTAAGGTCTAAATGATAAATTAACTATTGGGTCAGAACTGTGCTTATGTACCTTGAAATATTAAAACTTTCATATCACCAGCGCCTCTAGAGGCGTATATTTTTTGGAAACCTGAGTATTGATTATAATAGTGAGTATTTATAATAACCATTCATTATTTGTGATGGGTATTTAAGATGAAAAGGAAATTGCCCCATCAATTAATGTGAATACCACTTTGGGACATATGAAAATATCAGACTGTCCTTAGTATTACATGGCAACACTAATAATCCTTGTATATTATCACCCACAACAAAATGTGCAGTGATGATTTCATGGAATCTGTTAAATCAGCCAATAGGTGTTGTATCAAAACATACAGTGGCACATTAGTTTTCACTTTAACAAATCTGAGAAATTTCTGCTTCCTTGAGTAGAGTGGGCAATGGTGAGAAAGTTTGGAAAGTATAAAAGTGAAAAAATTCAGAAGCTCAACATTGAGAAAACAAAATTTCCAATTTTCTCTCTAAGGTTTAAATGGCGAGGTCTGAATCTTGCTCATGAGTGGTGACTAACTTAGTTCCATGTATTTGTATCTGATTATTAGCTGCACTCACCTCATTTCCTTCCTCAAGAAACCTTACAGCACCATTTCCCGACATGAAAGTCAAAGCAGTTACCCAGTGGCAGCAGCTCGCCACTTGCTCCTCCAGGCCTTCATCCTTCTGACTTCCTCACAATGTCTTTGCCTGTAACATGGACATATTCCTCTTCCAGCCATTGTCCATGCAATTCAGTGTCAGCAACCCACCAGTCTTCACACATCATCATGTTTGCTCTCCGACCAACTCAGGCACCACTTCAGCCCTTCAACACTTTATTCTGGAGCTCAGGGACACTTATACCTCGCAAGCTTCTACTAGATCGCTTTGTGTGCAGGGATACACATGTATGTCATGCACCTACAAAGGATGCATCTTATGGCTCAGTTTCATTTCTTAGCTCTCAGTCACTTTGAGCTATGTTGGAGGCAGATTGCCGCTGGTGTATAACATTGTTTTTCAGTGCAGAATGTCAGGCTAGTAACTTGTCATGGTTCAGAGCATTGAGCAGTCAAAGAGTTGTATTGTTGTGTATCACTGCACAAAGTCAAACTCAGCACTACAGAATATGCCAGCAGCTAACACAGCAAACAAACTGCATATGGCTCGACCAAATGGCTATGTCAGAAAATCAAAGGGGGTCAGTTCTTAGTGGGATTAATGGGGACTATGGTCAGTTAGAGGGTTGGTCCCAGTCAGTTGCTACATCAGATAGACTGCTGTGGAGACATCATCCAAATTGTCCTGCAATATAACTAGGAAACTGACCGAGTATGATGACAGTGGATGGAAGAGTAGTTAGTGGTGGTGCACAAGCGAGAAATGTAGTGAGATGTCCCCCCACTGAGTGATTTGGAAGCACAGAGGGCAGGCAGGGTCGGTAGCTGGGGAGAATGAGGTTGGAGAGAGATGTTGCATGCAATAACCAGAGTTATAGTCAATGACCTGCAGTGAGACAAACATACAGTGGCAGAGTTGGAGTGATTAGCTCCCCTGTGACAGAGTGAAGTTGGTGGCACTTATCTTTTCAGGACACAAAAAATCATTAACCTTCTTGCACTGCTGTGCATTGCATTTAGCCCACAACACTGCATTAACCTGGGTCGGACCTTTGCCAGCCAGAAAGAAACAACACTGCCTGCCTTTCCACCACAGAATCCACCAGTACCTCCAGACCCTTGTCTGTGAACTTGCCTTTCTAGGCCATTTTCTTTGGGGTAATGATGCAGTAATGATACAGGGCAAAGGGCAGTTCCTGGCCTTGTACTGTCTGAAATGGCATTTAAATATGGTGCCAGCAGTGTGAATGCTGCAAAGACCTGACAGTGGGAACTTCCCCTATGTCCTGCTGCACGATTCCAAGGTGGGCACTGAAGAGGTCACGTGCATGAGTGGAGAGCAGGTGACTGCATGAGAAAAATTGCCATGGGCAATGGGAGACTGGGCACCATGAATCTTGCTCCAAATATCACTGCGTCCAAACGTGGAAAAATTCAGTCTTTAATATCAGTCCATCACAAATGATGAATGAACTGTGATTGGACAGAAACATCAACATTGAAACAAAAGCTGTAATTGGGAAAAGCGAAATGGTGCTCACAGTAACACAAAAAAATACTGAGACATGGCCAAA